GGTTCCGTACTTTTCGCCTACCCCAGGTCCCATCGCGGCTCTGCCAGGAGCCGGAGCCCTGTCGCCCCGGCTTCGGCGCCGAGAGCTACACGTTCACGGTGCCCCGGCGGCACCTGGAGAGAGGCCGAGTCCTGGGCAGAGGTGAGCTCCGGCTTCCAGATATTCCAGTAGTTCATTTTCAACCTTTTTCATCTTTGCTCACTTGTTCTCCTCATTGAGGCCCACCTTGATTAGTCTCTCCACACATGTGCCCTACATTTAAAAATGCTGTCCATAGCACTTACCACTTCCTAACCTAGTAGATAATTTACTTGTCTTAAGTATCCATATATAAGCTTATATTTTCTTGGATTCTCCCTTCTCCCTTGGTTTTCAGAAAATTTGATGTTCTTGGCCTCCTGAAGTCCTTATACCACAAATTAGGATATAAGGTAACTCATTGCAAAAAGTGAACAAGAAGGAGCTGGGCAACAGAAGCAGGGAAATAAATAGATGACAGTATTTCCAGTACTTCTCCTTCCACAGAGAGGAATGAATTAAACTTGAGGCAAGAGGGTCACTAAGTTAGGTTGCCTGAATTGCAACAAGATTTCAACAAAAATTGGAAAAGGGGAAAAATAAAACTTTATATTTGTATCACACTTTTTAATATCCAAATAATTTAACTCCTGCTATTATATGTTAATAATAGATCCTTTAATAAAACAGATATGTTGTATTCATCATATATAGATACTAACAACAAAATGAAGGATAATGCCTTTATGTTTTACAGATGGTGAAACTGGTGCTCAGAGAGGTTAAATACCCATAGATGCCCATCTATTCTGTGGCAGACTCAGCATCTCAAGCCATATTTTAGCCACTGTTCCATGTATTTTTGCACTATCTTACCTGCCATCATTTGCCTTTCACAATAACTATGAAAGGCAGGTATGAGAGGTTGTATTTACATTTGCCTAATGAGAAAATTGGGGGGCCCCTCGCTCCCAGGCCCGGTTCTGCACCAGCTCAGGTGGCTGGGAGCCCGCTCAGTTATGAAGCTGTGGCTTTTGCTCACAGAAATGAAAACGTTTGGATACAGGTGGTACCTCCTCCCCAGGAGTAATGTCTTTTCCTTTTTCTTTTCTTTCCGGGGCTTTATTATCGCTGAGATAATCAGAATTCTAGAGTCTGCTTTGTTTCATTCCACGGTGGCCCTGGGGCGAAAACAAGGGAAGGTTGGTTTCTCTTCTGGTTTCACCGATTCCCAGATGCTTTTTTTTTTTTTCTTCTCTTCCCAAACCGCTTTCTCCTCCCGCTTGATTTTAGTTGATTGGGCGAGTTATCATAACAATAAGAGAAACACTTTTTGAAGCCAGAAATCACCCACCATCCCCTGAGGGAATTCATTGCTTATTCTTCTAATCTTGGGCCACGTGAAACAGCTACAGCGATCTCCCTGTTGTTTGAAAAAAAAAAATTTTTTTTTGAACTTTGGAATTTGTTCCAATAGCGGGTGGCATTCCTTCCCCACCCTCCCCCTTACAGAGAAAGAAACTGAAGCTTGATTGATTAAAATGTGTTTGCTTTCCTGAGGCCTGTGTGTGGTGTGGGGAGCGTTCTATGGGGTCAGGCAGGAAGTGTTTGCCGGATTTTTGCTGTGGGTCCCTCTGACTTGGCCAGTCCCTGCTTGATGTTCTGCCCCACCCTGTGCTAGGCACCTGGGAATGAACTGAGCTAGAGGGATATTCCAGCCCTGCCCTCCGCACTGCCTGCTCCAGCAGGTTGCTAAGAATGTCCCAGCACCCACTGAGAGGGCACAGTGGGACATGGGTGTTTTGGTGCCTGGAATGTTTGATGGGTATCAGCGGGCCGGGAGGATTGGCTTCTGGAAGGAGTCAACACTGACCCAGCCTTGAAGAAGGAAGGGTTCGGGGATTAGAAATGGGAGCGCGTGTGCAGGTGTGTATGGGGTGTCCCGACACACGTGCTGGTCACTGTGTTTTCCTGAATCAAGACATCTGGTAGCGCCAGGGGTGGGTGGGATTCGTTTGTATCCCTCTTGTGTTTGACCAATAATAATATTGTTACATATTCATCATTATTATTAATAACAACACCTATTGGTTGCTGTTCACTGGACGGTGGGGCAAGTGCTTCTCATATTTTACCTCATTTCATCTTCCCAAGAGCCTTAGGAGGGTGGGCGCCATTGTTCTTCCTATTTGGAGATGAGAAAACTGAAGCAGAAAGTGATGTAGTTGTCTGCTCAGGGTTTCCTGCTGGTCTCTCTCCTGCTCTCCCTTCTCTTCTCTGTAATCTCAACAAGGAAAGAGGGTGCTCGGGGAATTAGTGTCCACTGCGAAGTGGACTCCATCCTCCCTGTGTGCCTGGACGAGCGGAGGTGTTGACAGGGCTGACCCTAGAGGAGGCGGTGATGATAGAGACAGCTCAGACCAGGTGGGAGGGGTCAGACCAGGTGGGAGGTGGAGGGGCCTGCAGCGGGTGGTCTTGATGGGAGAGGCGGTCTCCACCAGCTGCTTGTGTGGCTGGTTTCAGGTCCCTTTATGGCCGCACATCCATATCCACTCAACAGAGGGCTTGACATTTCACTTTGGGGGGCTTTTTGGGCTATGGGGTCCCTTCCCATCAATCCAGTGTGGAATTACCCCAGGACAGAAGTGCCCTTGTGAGAAACCACACAGGGGACCTCAGGGAACTGGCTTTGTGATTTAAAAAAGCAGGGTGTGTGTGTGTGTGTGGGGGGGGTGGTTTAGGGAGGTGGCCTCACTCTTCTAGGACTGTGTAGAAAATGTAGGAACTGTTACATTACCACCAGGCTAAACATTGGCCCCAGGGAGAACACAATTTGCACACAATCTCAAGGTCCCATGGGCATCCCTCATCCCTAGTCTATCCACGACACCAGGTTAGAACCCTGGGTGGAGTTTCATGGCTCCTGCGTTTTAATTCTTTGAAAGCGGCCCACTGCGGAGCCCAGTGGCTCCGTGGAGAATTTGCTGCATGGGAGTTTGAAAACAAGGAACCTGTCACTTTTTGTCCACCAGTGACCATAGAGCGTCACAAGTAGGATTTGGCTAAACTCGGGGGGCTTTGGGGCATTTTTGTGCCCCATGAGATCCTTGTATTTGTTCTATTGGTTTTCCTCCATGTTCTAGAATGGAGAAGGTTTTAAAAACAAAGCGCCCCCCCCCCCAAAAAAAAACAACACAAAAAACACAAACCTACCCAGCTGTAAATGGGTTCTTTAGTTTCTCATTATCTTCCCTCTTCTGAGCACAAGTTGGTTTTCAGGTCTAAGTCGACTGGAGCTGGTGGGGAGGAAGGCGGCAGGGTTTGAAACCCATGATTTCCTGGCTGTGCTTCCTCTGCCACCTGGCTTTGGGAAACAAGGCTTGTATTTTGGGTCTGAGCTCTGGCTGCATGATGGATTGACCTTGCTCACAGGCACCCACCTGTGTGGATTAAGTACACCCATTTCCTCTTCTTTCTAAAGGATGTGCTGAAAGGTGGTGGGAACCTTATGCCGGCCCCCTAATTAAATGGTTTTTTTTAAAAAAAAACAACCAGAGAGAAACCTGCTTTGGGATGATCTTACATCATCAGATCCCCACTCCCCCACCTCTCAGACTCCTAACCATCACTTCCCAGAGGACTCACATCTGTGTCAGAGCTCACGGGGAGGAGACTAATGGCTCATCCTCCTGCCCTTGCCTTTGTGTCTCACTAGGAGCGGAGGCCCAAGGTCCCGGGCCCTGCACGGCCATGTAAGGAAGGCTGGCTGCTGCTCCTGCCCTCCCTCCCGTCCAGCCAGGTGGTTATGGAAATCCCTGTTTGCTCTCCGGGGCTTTTTATTGAGCCAGCCTTTTCTTCCAAATGCTCACCTTGGTGTCTGTTACGCATTCCCTTCCAAGTGTAGCCCCAGATAAGCCAGACGCTGAAGCAATCAGCTCTCTCATCTCCCAGAAGCTGCCAAAACCCGAAAGTCCCCGGGAGGCGCCTGTCACAATCCAGACTTCTGGGTTTCCACGCTGCCCCAGCGTCCATCTCCTCTCGGGGCTCTGGGCTTTCAAGGAGATGAATGAAATCCGTTTGGCCGGGTGGGGTGACTCTCTAAGTACCTGCAAGATCCGGGTTTGAATTTCAGCTATTGGCTGTGTGACCTTGGGTAAGTCAGTTTACTTCTGCGAGCCTCAGTTTCCCCATGTGTGAAATGGGAGGCAACAATACAGGTTTGCCATGAGAATTAAACGTTCCTATTCATTCAGTCGTTGAGTCAACCCCTGACTATGGAGTGCCAGCACTGGGCTAGGCCCTGGGATTACGGTAATGAATAAGGCAGATGTGGGCTGGACATAAAGGCAAGTGGGACAAATGTAAAGAGATAAAGGAAGAAAAAAAAAAGATAAGGAGTCATGAAATGGTGGCTCCTATTTCTTCGGGACGGAGTAGGCAGTCAAATACCGTTTTTGAATACATGAATAAACGACTGAATCAATATTGACCACTCCCACAGGCCTGGCTGATCCTTTTCCTCTTAAACTCTGTGGCCTCAGGCCAGCCCTAGCCGGTGGTTGTAAATGGGCAGGGAAGCGTTGGGGCTGTGGCTCTTGAAGCTTTGTGATAAGTGTGTCCCTGGGATACAGGGTACTGAGTGCTTCCCTCTGAAAGCCTCGGAGGGCAGAGAAAGGAGACCTCAGATTCGGAAATGGAAGGGCAGTTAGTCATTTTTAAGTGTTTTTCGTCTTTGGTCAATTAGAAACAAATAGGTGGTGGCCTTTCTTCCTCTCTCTAATTTGTTTCCCATTTATATACCTCAGCCTACGCTTGGCAGGGCTTTAGGTCCCTTCTCTTTCTGCACTTTCCCTCTTCCCTTTCCTTCCTCTTAATCTACCTCCAGTCCTCCTCTTCCCCGCTAGGCCCTGCTGGCATCTCCCCAACATTTAGAGGGTTCTTGAGTCAGACTGCCTAGATTGCAATCCAGGTAATGCCCCTTGCCAGCCGGGGGACATTGGACAAGGACTCTCTAAGCCTCTGTTTTCCCATCTGTAAAATGGGCAGAATAGTCTCCAAGCCATAGGGTGCGTCAAGTGCTTAATGAATATTAAGTAATAACGCACCCCCCCCCCCCGGCGTCT